GGGGAGGGGAGAGGAGAGGAGAGGAGAGATACATACATACATGAATGAAAGGAAGAACTCAAATTACCAATATTTGCAGAGGATAAGAGACTCTACATATAAGACTCAAGCTCTTAGAATAACCAACTTCATCAATGTAACAGGATACAAGATTGATGCAAAAAAAGATAGTCTTTGTATATACCAATAATGAACTGGATGAGAAGGAAATTGTGTAAATACCATTCACAGTATTTCAAGAAAAATAAATATAGTTAAGTCCCTGACTTGTGAACATTTAACTTGCAAACTTTCACATATACAAAAGGACCCCTCTTTTGGTTTTTTATGCTTTACATTGTATACTTGTATCAAAGGTATATAAGACTCACTTTGTTGGACTTAGGGACAAATCTCACTTATGAATATTCTACCAGAACAGAACTCGTTCATAAGTCAGGGACTTACTGTACCTAGGAATTAACCTAACCAAAGAAGTAAAAGACTTCTACAAAGAAAACTACAGTACTCTGAAAAAGGAGATTAAAGAAGATACTAGAAAATGTCTCCTGCTCCTGGATAGGCAAAACTAATATTGTCAAAATGGTCATACTTCCAAAACTGTTATACAGATTCAATACATTCCCAATCAAATACCAACAGCATACTTTACAGATCTAAAGAAAACAATCCTAAAACTCATATGAAGCCCAAAGAGACCCAGAATAACAAATGCAATTTTTGACAAGACCAAAGCAGGAGGCATAGCAATACCTGACTTTACACTACAAAGCAATAGTGATAAAAATGGCATGGTACTGGAACAAAAACAGGTATTGTATGTGTATCAGTGGAATAGAATTGAGGATACAGAAACTTCTCCAGCCATGTGCAGCTATTGCATCTTTGACAAAGGGGCCAAAAGCATATATTGGAGAAAAAATAGCCTATTCAATAAGTGGTGCTGGGAAAATTGGTTATCCATTTGCAGAAGATTGAAACTGGACCCTTATCTCTTACCATATACTAAATTAAAATCAAAATGGATCAAAGATCTAAACATTAAAACAGAAACATTAGCCGGGGATTTAGCTCAGTGGTTCCAGCAGTTGCCGCACAAGTGCAAGGTCCGGAGAAGTTCTATCCCCGGTACCAAAAAAAAAAACCCCAAAACCAGAAACATTATACCCACTAGAAGATAAAATAAGTAAAACACTTGAAGACAAAGGTGTAGGAAAGAATTTTCCTAACAGAATCTCAACTGCACAAGAAATAACAGTAAGAATCAACAAATCAAATTATGTCAGACTAAAAAGCTTCTGTAAAGCAAAAGAATCAATCAGTAGTTTTGAGACAACCTACAGAATGGGAAAAAAATTTTGTCAGCTACTCCCCAGTCAGAGGACTAATACCTAAAATACACAAAGACCTCAAAAAAGTTAAACCACCTAAAATTAATGACCCAGTCAAAAAATGGACAAGAGAAATGCTGACACTTCACAGAGGAAGAAACACAAATGATCAACAAACATATGAAAAAATATTTAACATCTCTGGCCATTAGAGAAATGCAAATTAAAACAACACCAAGACTCCATCTTACTCCAGAAAGAATGGCAACCATCAAGAAATCAATCAATAACACATGCTGATGAAGCTGTGGTGAAAAAGGAACCCTCCTTCATTGTTGGCAGGAATGTAAGCTAGTACAATGGAAATCGATATGGAGATTTCTCAAAGAAGTGAAATTAGAAATTCCATGTAACGCAATTATCCCCCTGCTAGGTATCTTCCCCAAAGAGCTTAAGACATCATAGTACAGGAATACATGCATACCAGTGTTTACAGCAGCACAATTTATAATAGCTAAACCCTGGAAGCAGCCTATATACTCATCAACAAACAACTGGATAAAGAAAATGTGGTAAGGGCTGGGGATTTAGCTCAGTGGTTTCGCCGCCTGCTGCGCAAGTGCAAGGACCCGAGTTCGATCCCTGGTACCAAAAAAAAAAAAAAAAAGAAAGAAAATGTGGTATCTATATATAATGGAATATTACTCAGAATAACCAATTTGAGACATATGTAGGAAAATGGATGCGCCTGGAAAATATGTTACTACACTTGATCTTAGCCAAAAGGAAATTTGGCTATGGAAAATACAATGCTAAGTGAAATAAACCAGACACACAAACTTAAATACTGTATGGTATTTCTCATTTGAGTGAGGCAAAGTACAAAGAGAATAATAAAGGATGGATAGAAGGGGATGAGGGGATGGATTTCTTGAAATAGGAAGTGCTCCAAAGGAACAGGGCAAGGGATGAGGAGGAAGGGAAGGAGAAGTAAGTAAAATAAAGACATGCCATGTACAGGAACCTAACGACCTCAATTAATATAAACATTATATGCCATAACATGAGCTATAATTAATAATAGCAACAAGAATGAAAAATGGGATGGGGAATTGGGGGTGGATTAAAAAAAAACAAGCTGTAGTATGTACATGTAACCACTCTCTTGAGATGATTGTAAACTGCATACAATGCGAAAACATACTAATAAAATAAACAAATAATTTATTTTTAAAATATGCCCAATTTGGCCAGGCATGGTGGCACATGCCTATAATCCCAGCACTCAGAAGGCTGAGGCAGGAGGATCACTGCAAGTTTGAGGCCAGCCTGCGCTACATATTGAGTTCAAGGCCAGTCTGAACTACATAGTGAGATCCTGTCTCAAAAAAACAAAAACAAACAAAAATGTCCAATTTAAAAACTACATTTTTAGGCTAGGGATGTAGCTCAGTGGTAGAGTGCTTGCCTGGCATGTGCAAGGTTTTGGGTTTAATCCTCAGCACCACAAAAAAAGAAATACATTTTCTAGTTTCCTTGTGGTTATGGATGACCACACACTTGATAAAGAGTGTGGAAAGATATATATAATGGAGATTTCTAAAAAACTTTTGCTTTCTTGATGCAGCCTAGAGGAGGAGCAGTTATTTTTCAGCCATGAGGCAAAGATGAAGTTGGAAAACATATGCTAAGGGTGAAAGAAGAGAGACTTCAGAAGCTTGGGACGCTGATAACATCAGGGAACCCCTATAATCAGCCCTAGATTACCTACAGCTGAGAAAAATAAACTCCTATTTGAGCAAACCACTACGGTATAGTCAGATTTGTTACATGAGGCCTAGAATAATCTTTAGGTGATAAATACAGACTCAGAAATAAGGCTAGCCTTACCTGCCTTCTCACAAAGAGCTCTAAGACAAAAAATAACATACAAACACAAAGATGGGGAGTCCATCATTATTTCACATTTATAATATTAACTAATTCTAGGATAACAAAGATCAAAGAGCAGCTTACTTCATTTGGTCATCATCTGCTCATAAATGTGGAAAATAATTAAGCTGTAGTGCCCAAAATGAGGTCAAGACTACACTACTATACAGTGGACCCTCAAGTTATGACCAGCCTGACACACAAACAAGTTGGGCTAATTAGGTTAATGGAAGATTCATCTGCCTCTTGTTATCTATAGCATGTACCCACATAAACATCCAGATCTCAGCTGTACTGACTTACAATAAACTTGAGTTACAACCAGCCCTCGAGAACCGATCAAGTTCCTAAGTCAAGGGTCCACTGTACTTCCTTCAGATCAAAGGTTATACATTGGCAGCCCATAAAGCCTGTTCTAATCCATAGGCCATTCCACTCCATCTGCTGCAGTGATTTCACATATAAATACAAATTTTCCTTAAAATTCTAAACAATATGGCAACACCAGATTGGAAGTACAATTGGCTAGAGCTATTATCCTTTAACTGGCAGCTCTCTCCAGTTTAGCACATTCCCTGTGCCCACACAGCTTTATTCATTAACATTATATGCCTGACTCCTGTAAGAAAATCCACCTTGAAGCCCTGCTTTAAACCTTACAATTAAGTCTAGTCTTTTTTTTTTTTAACTTTTTTGTTTGTTTGGGTTTTTTTGGTACCGGGGATCGAACTCAGGTCCTTGCACTTGCGCAGCAGGCAGTGAAACTACTGAGCTAAATCCCCGGCCTAAACATTTTTTGAGACAGGGGTCTCACCATGTAGTCCAGACTGGCCTTAAACTCACTGTGTAGCCCATCAATCCTCCTGCCTCGGCCTCCCACATACTAGAATCACAGATATAAACGACCACATGCTGCTCTATAGTTCTCATTAAATGCATTATCTCTAACACTCTCACTGTTAATTCTTCATTATTCAATTAGTTTAAGATACAGGTGATATACCCATTTACAATGTCCTTTTACCTGATAGCGCATCTTGAAGATGATAGTACATAAAGCCACAAATGAACTCAAGCGAATACAGGGCCTTGCACATGCTAGGCAAGCACTCTACCACTGAGCTACATCCCCAGCCCTTTTTGTGTTTTTCAGCCCTTTTTATTTTGAGACAAGGTCTCATTAAGTTGCCCACACTGGCCTTAAGCTTTACCATCCTTCTGCCTCACCCTCTTGAGTAGCTGGGATTATGGATGTGCCACCATGCCCAGCTATAAACTCTGGATATACTTTAAGATCATCTAAAACTGTTCTGAATTATCAGAACCTGGTTATCTTAGAAAGTCATAAAACTGATCTTTCCTTGTCTTTACCTTTCATAACAGCCTGAAGCGAAGCAACTTCTTCCCTCCACTGCCTTTTCACTTCATCTATGGCTTCTTGTTTGGTATTTTCAGAAACTGTGGCAATAGCCTTAATATTTTCCATTTCTGCTTGTGCTTCCCACAGCTGTGTTCGCAGGTGTCCCAAATCATCCTGCGCAGCTTGTAGTACTGCATTTTGCCTCTTCAGATCCTCTGGAAAACAGTAAAAGACTTTTCAATAATGAAGGGTTCACTTTATCAGGATAATGAGCTAATAAAGAAATTAGATTTCAAAATGTTAACATAGAAAGTGACATCATTTTAACAGAGTTGATATTTTCTCAAAAACTTTACCTCAGAGTTATTCACTTCACAATTAATAAGGTGTATGGTTAATGCTCTGTCCCAGTATTACCAGGCTTAGCTACTGGTGGCAATGGACTTTGAGAAAACCCACTTCATGGCACCCAAACATTAAATTATTTTTCAAAACATACTGAACTCCCAATACTTGCAAAAATATTACATGCACCTTTTCCCCACCATTCTTCTTGCATTATTAATCTACATCAGTAGGTGTTAAAATGAAGTCATTTTAACAAATTATGACTGTACAAATCAAAATACCACTATTTAATATTAGAATATCTTACAAACAGTGCATTATATATTACCTTGCAATCTGAAACATTACACTTCCTATCTGTGAATGTTTATTTTACATAACTGAAACTTCGCAGAATTTTGCAGCAAATAGTTTTAAAAGCTTAGTTCTATACATAAATTCTAACCATCTCTTTTATAATCTAAAAGGCTCAAGTCATAATTTAGTAGCAAAATCATCTATAAAACTTCCTAGCTCATCTTCTTATTCATCCCATATGACAGTTTTTATTTATTTTTTTTTTTAAGGTCAAAGTCTTTATAAATCCTACTTCAGATTGAAAAAAGGAATATTCCTTTTGCCTACATAAAAACTTGGGTTGTACTTCCTTATTTTCACTGAACAGACACAAAAACCACCACCACAACAAAACACATACAAAAATAAACAAATGAAAAAATAAACAATGGAAAAGAACTCTTCCAAAAGTTTTTCCAGTCTCCTGTTTCTGTTGTCCTTTTAGTTATTGTTTTGTGGATGGGTTTTTGTAGGGGTGTTTTGGGTTATGTTTTTGGTTTTAATTTTTTCAGACAGGACCTAATTCAGTCAGGCTGGCCTTGAACTCACTATGCAGCCCAGGCTGGCATCGAACTTATAGTGATCCTCCTACCTCAGCCTCCCAAGTACTGGGATTACAAGCATGCTCAGTTATCACTCTGTTGCTGTTTGTCTTTTAACTTTTTTTTTCCTAAGGGTCTTACTATGTAGTTCATACTGGCCTTGAATTCACTATGTAGCCCAGGTTGACCTTGAACTCACAGCAATCTTCCTGCCTCAGCCTCCCAAGTGCTGGGATTACAAGTATATGCCACCACAACTGGCCTATCTTTTAACTTTTTAGATATATTTTTAGGTATTTAAAAGTTCCAAGAGATTTATAATGAAGAATGGTTCATCTTTGCAATGTCATCCCTTGCTTCAAAGAGTATAACTAAGGCAAAAACTGGCCAAGGTGATTTTTAAAATCTAACTCTACTACTAGCCAGTTGTACGATGGTAAGGGATTCGCAAAACCTTTAAGCTTCAGTTTCATCACCAGGATAACAGCCATATTTTTTTACACAGATTTCTAACTACTTATAAAAATGAAACATATAATATCAATCAAAGAACATGAAAAGCTGTAAAGACATTTATGTTTATCAGAGACAGGAATTAGTGGCATGGTAGTTTAAGTCACAGGGTCCTACTAAGATGACACTTGAACTTGCAATCCTCCTGTTTCAGTCTTCTTCAATGCTGGGATTACAAGAATGAACCAAGCCCAGCTTTTTAAAAGAAATATAACATCACAAATGTCTGATGTAATGGGGGCATGCCTGTACTACTTGGGAGGCTGAGGTGAGAGGATCCCTTGAACCAAGGAGTTTAAGTCCAGTCTGGGCAACACAATGAGACTCGCCTTTAAAACAAAAGTTTAAAAAATAAAATTAATTAAAAATAGAAACAAAAACATCACAAATATACTACTTTCCTCTTGATAACTACTAGGAATCTGAATATCATTATCACATATATTTCAGGTTTATAAACCTTAATGTTCTCATAGCATATTATTCTCATGTAATTAACTCTCCCCACAATACTGTTCCTATATGTAACTATTTCACTCATTAATAGGAATAGCATATCAATGTATCATGCATTATGCTGACAGGTATGAACATAAATCTTTTTCTATACAAGACATCCTCACTGTTCTATAACCAATGTCTGTGTTTCCCCATTTTAATGCCATCTTTGTCATATCAAATTTCCACATATGTGTGGGTCTGATTCTATATAAAATGGTCTATTTGACTATAAACATCCCAGTAGTACTATACTAACACAACACTGCCTATATATATATA